TTTGCTTCTGACCACTTCTCTCTAAGCAGGTCGTTTCCTCTCGTGTGCTCACCGCACTGTGCAGCGGGGTGTGTGTGACATTACAAAGCATAAAGATTCTCGTCACATTGTATCTCTTTCTGTAGGTCTGGATTCCCCTTCCCTCCCCAAGTTTATCTTTATCCGTTGAGGCTGCAAACTGAAGAGATGACCTAGGGCAGATTTACCCCTGGCAGCCAACCCTCTTTTAGAAGTCTGCTGTTGGGTTAGCATGCTGTTGTTGTTTTTAAAAGGTCGCCATCATTATTGTAGAAGATAGTTTCGGTGGTGTCTTTTAAGATTAGGGTGTTGTTAATGAATATCTATAGGGGTAAAATTAAGCTCCACTTCAGTATTTAGGGTTGGAGGTAGTGAATGATATTGCAGGGTGATGTAATGTATATTTTTATTATTACTGCTAATATTAATATTATTTCAGCGAAAGCTGCAACTTGAGTACTCAAATGTCTTACATGCTTTATTTTCTTTTAATAGTAATAATCCTGTGAAGTATGAGCAACCCCCAACCCACCTGCTCCACCTTCCCCCCTTCTGAAAACTGAATCTCAATTCTGTTGCATAAAAATGTTTCTGTTGCACAGAAATAAGACGTTCCCTGAGTGTTACTTATAACACTCACTGAAACTCTTCTCAGCTGAAGAGTGCCCACAGCTGTCCTGTTCACTGTGGAGCCTGACCCCGGCTACCTTCCTGCCCAGTCTGTAGATGGTACTCCTTGAGGAGGAGAACTAGGTCTGTATTACTTTTTAAATTATATTCTTTATACCTTGCTTAGTGATACAAGATGCTCACTGCCATGAAGTTGATTCCAACCCATGTGCTACAGTGACCCTAGAAGATAGAGTAGAACTGCCCGTGTGTGTTTCTGAGTCTGTAACTCTTTACAGGACTAAAGAGGAGTGGGTGGTGATTTTGAACTGTGGCCCTTTCTGTTAGCAGCTCAGTACATTGCCAGGCCTCCTAGATATAAAGTACAGCAAGTGCCTAATAAGTGTTTCACAGATGAATGAACCCCTGAGCACATTAAAGGTGAAGAAATCTGGTAGATTTTGAAGTGAATTTTTGCAAAGAAGAGCAAAGTTGGAAGACTTCAACAACCTACTTTTAAGACTTCCACGAAGCTACAGTCCACATGACCGTGAGATAGCAACCAAAGGAGACACAGATGTCAGGGCAATAGGATCAGGAGTGCAGAGAGACCCACCCTTCTGTGGGCAATGGAGTTTAATGAATGTCAAGCAAGTGCAAAGGTGAAAGGAAAATCATTTCCACCAGTGAGGTGTCTATTTATAGAAAAGCCGAATGCCAACCCCTGCCTTACACTACATACAAAAATTAACTCCAAGTGGAGTCTAGACTTAAATGGAAGAGCTAAAACCATTAAACTTATAGAAGACGTTAGCAAAAACTTATTCTAACTTTATTTAAATAAAAGTTTTTACATAGGGGGTGCGTGCACGCGCACACACACACACACCAGAACCAGAATTAATGAATTAGATTTCCTTAAAAAAAAAAATTTAACTTTCCTGTTTGAGAAACACTTCTTAAGACTATGAAAATGCAAGCTATATAATCGGAGAAAATGCTTGGAATGTGTATTTGAGGAAGTATTTTAAGAATACATTAATCTATAATAATAAGACAACCATTTAAAAGATGGGCAAAATCAAACCAGTCACTTTACCCAGAAAGTAGTAGAAATGGCCAGTAAAGACACAAAAATAGGTTGACTATTATTAATTGCCCACCAAAAAAACCAAACCTGCCATGCAGTAAATCTAACTCAAGGCGACTCGCTAGAACAGGACAGAAATGCCTCTTGGGTTTTAGTTTTTTGTTTTAATGTTTTTAATTGGCATATAATTCACATCATACAATTCAATAGTTCAATCTTATTAAAAAGAGTTTTGATGCCCCTTTGGGTTTTTGAGGCT